CCCCACAAGAGGAACTATAAAGGAGCCCAAAACGCTCTACACCCCTATATGAGCCATAGTCTAAACTCCTTAAAGGAGGTTATATAGGGGATTATATAGAGGACTACTATAGGGGGTTATTAAGGGGGATACTAGGAGTTTAGACTATAGCTCATGTAACATTCCCCTCACAGCCCTCCAAGAGTTCATGATGATATGGGTAGCCCGAAAGATTCCTTAGGGGCGCTAAAGATGAGTTGGGATTGAATATTGGTACAATAATGCTTGGTGGTACTTTTCCGGAACTTCAGCACATAAACCTTGTGTCTTCCTAGCTTTGCTATAGGGGGAACCAATACTTTGTTTCTGGCTGGGGTTAAAGCCCAAACAAGATGACGGGTATATGTAGGGATTATTCAAAGTTCATGACAAGAATCCTCCCATTCAGCACCAGAGAGCATTGAGGTAAAAGAGGAGGCGGCGAGGCTGAACTCGCAGATGTCATTTGCGCAGCCGCTGCTGCCTTGTCTCCTCCAAGAACACTGGGCCATTCAGAGTATGGGATTTGCATTCGTGTGGCGATTCAATGTTGATATATAACCTTGTATTCTGCGGTTTTCGTTTCAGACTGATCCCCATACATCTTTCCAAGAGCACTTATACAGAAACGGGCATTGTGCGTTTGGGAGCCCCACGCATTGCTGTCCTTCCAGGGTTTTTTCAGGGGCACATCTCAGCCTGTGCTTTATAGAGTCACGGGTTATTGATGGCTATATCTCCCTATCTACCCAGGTCAACTGGCCCCCATATTTGCCCATAAACTACAAGGGTGCACGCTTAGGGTCCCTGCAAGAGCCACTAGATAGCATCAGCTTCCTGAGCTCTCAGGAACATTTGCGGAATGCAGTGATGGAGCCGGGGGGACTGCAAATTATGCAGACTCCAAGGCCGTGGCCATCACCGATGTGGGAAGAAAGCTCCAGTGTCAGGTCAGATCCTTGTTGCCACTTGATCGCGTTTTCAGTAAATTTTTACAGTCTGTTCTGGGCTGCTGTCTTTGCATCGGCCTTGCGTGACGGGCACGCGGAATCTCAAATGCAAAAGGAATCCTACGTCCTAAACCCCATATAACCCCATTATAGTAGTTTCCATTTTCTCCTCCATTATGCCAATATTTCCCCAATATGACCTATAACTATAACATTCTATAAGTCTAGAATATACTACACTATGAGCACTGTCAAGGCTAGAGCTTTTGAACGCCTGGTACGCCAAGGGCTTCGACTGTGGCACAATCCGAATGGCACTCGAGTATATACAGCGGCAGCTGTCCACATTCAAAGGCAAGGAGAGAATACGTGCCATAACCGATGTGTTCCGATATTATTTTTGCTCCCCCAAAAATTCCGAAAGGAGAACCCTGCGGTAGGTGATCTTCGCGCTGCGGCTGCGGGTGCAGATTGGCTTGCCATCCAGAAAGCGGTCCAGACTTTGTTGCAGCAGTCTTCTACTGACCATCGACTGCGTGAGGTCAAGCACAAGAGCCGGGTACCGCACAATGCCTCACAACTGGTGCCGTTTAAGAGCATGAAAAAGGCTTCGATGCAGGCAATGCATGCACTGGGCGGTACAGGAACACAAAAGCAGGTCCAAGACCACTTGCGCCGGAACCCAGGTCTTATTGAAGGGGCGAACGCTTCAAACCTGGAGCGATGCCTTAAGCGTGTCCGGGTAAGAAGGTATTGTGAGCAGCGCGGCAGGAATGACTCAGGTGAGATTATTTGGGGCGTGCCAGCCGAAGCGCTTCCTCGAGGGGTCACTCGAGTCAAGAATGGTTTTAGAGCTTCATTTAACGGCCGGATCATGGGATTCTCATTTAGGGGCCCTCGCAGACAATGTTCCAGAGCTGCGCAGAGAGATCACGAGAAGCTGGGGCAGCTTTACAAGACCATGACACCAACGGCAATGGTGGCTTACGTCCAAGCTTGGTTTGGAGCTACTGTGGGCATAGTCAATCGGCATAGGCCCTAACCGGAGGTGTCTCTATGCCCAGAAGCCACAAGTCTGCTTTCTGGTCAGCTCAACTTTTGCGTGCCGAATGTCATGACAAGGGTTGACCAACAATGCATCCTCCCCTGGGATACGTACACGAGAGCTTCCGGCACGAGCTTTGCATGCCAAGCCATACAGACAGCAACAGGACCCTACATGCCCAAGATCTGTTGAGACCAGCCTACCGGCCTACCCTTCTTCGAAAGACTTCTCGGGACGCTTCCGCAAGTTTGGGGTACTTGTGAGCCCCGGACGGGGAGTGGACGTCTCTTGGGCAAAGCTCCGGCATGTGTGGTGTATGGGTTTGAGGGTTCAGACATGAGAGTTGTGGGTATGTGCGTTAGCGATGGGTTAGTTGCTACAGTAGAGTACAGGCATATGGGTCCACATCAACACTTCAGACATGTATGGCATGAATTGTCATGTTATTGCAAGTTTGGTTTTCAAGGGTTGCTGCGTCTAGATGGTGTCCCGCGCAATCCAGGTTTTGTGCGTTGAAGTGAATCGTGCAGGGCAGTTTCCTACTAAAAATCCTTTGAGCCCTCCTAAGCTCCCAAACCCCAGATCCAAAATCCAAGCCCAAGACAGGGTTGCTGTTAGGAACTTAAATGTAGTTACTATACTGATGAAACCCAATATACCCTCATTGTGGTAACTTAGCTTAAGTTCTTTAATCGCAGCCCAGAAGATGCCAGATCCAATGCCATTAAGACCCCAGATTCCTGAACCTAAACCCTAAGACCCAAACTCTAAACCCCAGATTCTAAACCATAAACTCTACACCTTACAGGACAAGCCCCAAACCCCCAAACCCACCATGACCCCAACCCTCCCCCAAAACCTAAGATGAAACAGCAAAACTTGTCATTCCAAAAATTGCTGTCCGTTTTGACAGGTTTAAAGTTTTGGGTGGGCGTTCCATTCTTGTTGTCTGTGGGCAAGTAACTACTTCCCGACCCTTGTCCATTTCATGCCCTTGGAACTACTGGTGGCGTGTAAGGGATGGAGGAAGGGATCCTTAAGACAGCCTTGGTACACTGTACTCCATCATGACAATGCAATATGAATTTCCTTTTTCTTGTTCACCCTCATTCCCTACTAACATACAGCATGTGCATCCTAAAGCTTTAGCCCTATATAGCCCGTTTTCATTTCATTTCCAATGCATTTTGTTTACGTAACATACCTACCTAGGTCGAGGGTTCAAGTACGCTGTGTTTCGTATCCTGTCCCCTAGCAATCCACCCCCTTCACATTGAAGTCATTTGTACCAATACATACATAAAAGCGTGCATACATACATGCGCACACACACATATATATATGTATGCATTTAATTGCATATATATATATGCAGGGGAGATTTTGGAGTATGGCCAAGTTCATATTAAGGGAGAGGGTTCCATAGCTTAAGTTCAGGATTGGAGTACCCTATAACCCTTGTGTCCTGCTAGGGCACCTCATTTGGTGCGCGAAAAGAAATCTACAGTTAGGTGCCTGCAAAAGGGTTTAGGGTTTAGGGGGGTCCAGGTCAACCCTGTCCTTTTGATGTGCCTTTGATACAGCTCGCAAGAGGAGTTCTGCGAGGATGCTCTCAAACAGCTCGAGGTCGGTCGTGGGCGGGGTCTCAGGGTTCGGGGTCTTAAGGTTCAGGGACCAGGGATTAGGGCTTAGGGTTCAGGGTTAAGGGATAGATGGATACTTCTACGCGAGCCATAGTCTAAACTCCTAGTATCCCACTTAATAACCCCTATAATAGTCCCCTATATAATCCCCTATATAACCCTCTTTTAAGGAGTTTAGACCATAGCTCACGAGGATTCCTTAAGGCATCATAGGATGAATGCCACGGGGGGAAGGAGCGAGGTCAGAGTTTCTCATGAAAGGTAATTTGGGGGTTTCCCAAAATTATGGGTACCTTTTTGGGAGTCCCCCATAATAAGGACTATAGTATTTTGGGGTCTATATTGGGGTTCCCCTATTTTGGGAAACTACCATTTAGGGTTGAGGGTTTAGGGTCAATCTCCACTCCACATGTTTCACATTCATTCCTTTTGACAGCCCTCAGGCCGCCGGGATGCATTCTGCTCTGGGGCGGGGCTATCTGGATATTGGTCTAAATTCCCTATAATACGGGGTCCTACATTTGGATTCCCATTATAATACGGGTACTTATATAAATTTCCCCATTTTGGGAACAGTAATTTAGGGAAACTACCATCTATTGTCCTGCTTTTTGTTGGTTCTCTTTTTGTCTTGGCGGAGGGTGAGGGGGAATTCATTTTTAGGGAGGGCTTGGCTGCAGGTTCCGCTTCAGACAGGGGAAGGACCTCCCTTCGCTTTTTGGATGGACACCGCACCTAGTCCATCTACCCTCTATATACCCCTAAATACCCACTATTAGGGACCATATACACCTAATGAAGGGTACAAGGAGGGTCCTGGCAGTGTTCTTGCTTTAGCATTTGGAGTTTGTCCTTTTCCCTATGCTTTCCTGGCTGCTACGGTTCTCCTGAGCCTCCCCTCTAGCAGACAACAAACACTTCAGAAGATGTGACTACGTCGTTAAGGTAGAGTAAGGGTGACCAAGATGCCGAAAGATTTGCATCAACAGCAGTTAGGTGTTCTACGGCAACCGAGGAGCATAGGAAACTGGTGATGAACATGCGTATGTGTTGAGAGGTAGCATGCAAACGGCATAATCGTGTAAGGACCCCAGTCGCGATTTGGAATTTCAACTAAGGAGTTTACAAATGTGAGTCCTTTGTTGACGAACTGCCTTTTTTCATCCTTCATGCATACGATCCTTTTCCCCATGAAATAAACATCCCCAACCCTGCATATGAATAACTTGGGAGTAGATACAAGCCCTAGACCTCGAACCCTAAGGCACAATTGCGTTGCTACGGCCGTGCAAGTGGCAAAAACCCCAAACCCTAATTCTATACACAAACCCCTAAGCCCCTCAACCCGTATAGAGCCCCCTAACCCTCCACCCAAGAAAGGCTCCCCATCTTCCAAGGAGGCTGGGGCCGTTGCAGCCATCGAGTAAGCTGCAGATTCTTTTCGCGCAAGCCGCGAACCGAAAAAATGCAGGGGCTGGAGGCTTAGGAGGAGGCTTGTTTCTTCGAATTTGGGCAAGGGCTTTTTGTTGGGCTTTGCCTCGCGCCAATGGTTGAAGTTTATGAGAAGCTGCGCAGACTCTGTCAAACAGCATTCCATATATTTTCAGGCTGCATCAAGCCCACTTTCAACATCAACACTACATGAGCTATATATACTAAACTCTGTAAAGGAGGCTATATAGGGGATTATATAGGGGAGTACTTTCGGGCCTATCGAGGGGGATACTAGGAGTTTAGACTATAGCGCAAGGTGTGTCATTGAAGCTGAGCTCCGAACCCTAACTTTCTGGTGGTGAGTAGCGAATAAAGGAGGAACATCCCAAGATAATCCCTGCATAATATCTGTCCTTTTTCAAGCCTCATCCCCTACTAACCATCAGTAAGCGAACTTGCATGCTTAGGCAAGTGTCCCCTTGGTTGCTCGGCTGTTGTCTTGGGAAGGCCAGGTGTTGAAAACGGTTTCAAGGAATCCTTGGGTCCCTTGGCTGTACCGAGGGAGGGTCCAAATTAAGCCTGAAGAATTATGACTGGGTTTTGAGGTGCTTATAAGATTTCATCCTACAATCGCTGCAAAACCTACTACGTCGTCTCGTTTAGCGTTCGATTTTCGCCAAGCTGACTTCCCATCTCATCCTCTGACATGCCCATCTTGCCAGCACTTCGTGACAGGGTGCACCTTCGCGCGATGAGATATTTGGCTGTTTGGTGTGCCCCCTGTTCCCTCTCCCGATAAGCCAGAAAGCTCCGCCCCAAGCCACCCTCCTACTAAGCGTCCAGGGGGTACAGGCAAGATGTCATGTAAGACAATGCGAGTTGAAGCAGCCACCTGTGAGATCTTGAGATGAACCTTATTAGTACAACCTGAGATAGCTAGCAACCAAGTTTCTAATCTGGTGGCCTGGCAACAATCATGATATGTGTGCTTCTCGAGAGAAGCGCCTCCCTTTATGCCATCAAATCATATGAGTATAGCCCCCGCAAAAGGATCCTCTAAGTGCCCCCCAAACTTCATCCGAAGATAGCCTAAGCCCTAGAACCCTAAGCTCTAACACCTTAAGCCCCCAAACCCTTCAAGCTCTAAGTCCCATAAGCCCTACCCCCCCTAAAGCTTAAACCCCTAAATCTCTAAACCGTAAAGCCCGCAAGATCCTAAAATCCACCTCCGCTATGAGCCCCTCTCCCCGCCGCCTGCGCTCGGCCTCTCCGGTCGTGGACATTGCGGCAAAGCAGCGGCTGGGCTCAGGGTCATTTCGGTCAGGGTTTAGGGTTTAGGGGTTTAGGGGTTTAGGGTTTAGGGTTAGTTATTTAAGTAGTAATTTTTCTTTGGGGACACTATGGTACCCAATATAGAGTAAGATTATGATTATTTCCTCCTTGTGGGGTATAGTATTTTATATAAGGAATATACTCTTACTAGGTTCAACCACCAAAGAAAAACACTACTCATTTCGGGTGAACTAGTCGTCGGGTAGGTACTTAGAAGGTCACGGAGACTAAGCAAGTAGGGTCACGCTGGGGGCTACATGGCCTATTGGGGTTAACCCCTCCAAGTACGCTTCATATAGTTTGTGGTTTGTATACTTCTGGCCTAGGGAAATCAGCAGCTTGGGCGACAGCGCGGTTTCCAACAATCGGCCCCTTTGAGGTGGTGGGTTTCTTATAAGGATTATCGTATACGTTTAATAGTGGGACGACCTTACCCTCAACTGAGTCACAGTTGCAAAGGTTTTAGAATTGGAATGAAAGGTCCAAACACGACCGAATTTGACATCTCAGCCATGAATCACGCAAAACAACAGCCGCGGCAGTTCCTTATTGACGCGGGCTTCTTCTCCAGAATCATAATCCAAGTTA